TTGTGCAAATGATTGTTTAAAACGGGTTAAACTCATTGTTTAATACGAGTAATACATGGGATTCAATATTCTGTCGCTGAATGTAATGTATATTTAATTATCTTTCATTTCCTAACAAAAGAGATGACAATTATTTGGGCGAAGAATACACAGAATATATACCGTATATAATATACGCCTAAACTCTATGCAAAGTTTGCGTTAATTATAAATCAATTTAATTTAATCACAATAGTCGACAATAAATAGGGTTTTTATGTTTGAGTTTATATTGTATTTAAAAATAAATAGCTATTAATTTTTAAAACCCCTATTTATTAGACAAGTATTATATTATATAAAATTAAAAGCATTATTTCTATTATATAATATTAAAGTTAAATGACATTTACTCAATTGGTATATTTATAGTTTTTAAATTAAAATGAATATAATTTGCAGCTTAAATTGTACATTATTTTATGTTGTACATTTAATATTAATATGAAAAATAGTTATATATTTAATATTTTATTTAATCTATAACTATATTATTCATTAACATTATTGTAAAATAATCTTCAAACATTTTAACAATAATAACTAAAAGTTATTATTAAAAATAGCCGTACAAATGATAATTAGTAGAGATTAAACAAAATTGGGATAAAAATACTTTTATTAATTAATATGTAAAGCTTAAGCCCACACACATTACACACGTTCACATGTTCTCCCAAATTGATTAAATAATTACAATAATTTGTAATACAAATCCCTAATAAAGAAAATAATTAAAATAAATTACTATTAATAGAATAATAAGAACCGTATATCTAATTGACAACTAGAATATTGAACAGTATTTACTTAATATCAAAATGTTTAATAAATAATTTGAATTAAACATAAATATTTAAACATTTACTTAAACACTTTATCAATTTTAAAGTGATAAAATTTATCAACATAAATATATTTAAAATTTAGTGAATGTAAGTTAATAAATAATTAAATAAAAATAACACTTAATTACTAAAATTAATCAAAATTGGGATCAAAACCAGATCTGGACAATAAATGTGTCGGATGTTAAAAACATTGTCGACACAAAAATCAAGTTCATTGATAATACAAGAATGTGATTTATTTATTTTTCTACTACGGTAAAAAATAAATGGCATTACTGTAAACGACATTTGTTAATTGAGTTCATCCCTGTGTTTACAATTAGGAATTTAATTAAATAATTAACTTAATTGACGGAAACTAAATCTCTCCCAGCGGTCAATGAAATTACTAAAAATATCAAAATAGTGTTAATTTAATTAACACATTGTTTCCGAGCATTACATCAGTATAAATGGTTAGGGAAATCAGTTTTGAAAACTACGTAAACTGACCTTGAACAGTATTGTCTGTTTACAATGGGCATTTACTGATTAAATACGTATGCATTGCGCTAACACTACGTGTGTTTAAAATAGTTATACAACTTTTTTTTTTGTTAGTATTTGTTTTAAGACACGCATTCACATGACATGATGTGCTCATATATTACTGTGAATCAAGTGTTACATAAAAATTATGATTAAATACTGACTGATTGAGTGAAACACATCTGATTTAATTGATTTGTATTGATTGTGAAGTTTGTTTGAACGAAATTATATTCTCATTTTTCATCATGTTTTACATTATTTATCAAAATTCAGTGGAAATGTGATAATTTTATAATGTTTTAAAGTACTACACAATTATCTGAGATGAAAGGGTAAGGTATTTACGATAAGTGAACACATGTTAAGTATATATGTTTTTAAATTAGATACCGATATCTGTGGGCTAAAGGGATGGGCGGATAACCACTAAATACTAACAATACAGTTAGCATATAATTAATAGATAAGAGAATATTAGGGTCAGTCGTGGCTTTGATATATAGTTTTGTCACTTTAGCCCATATTCTCGACACAGAATCCAGAATTTATAATGATTTACGACATTTGTCTCTCACAACAGATCCTCACATAAAACAGTTATAAATATACAGCAAATTACTGGTAATTTCACTAAAGAACCAGAAGAAAAAAAAGTTTGACGAAAAATTCAGAGATAAGACAAGTGTTTATCAAACAGTTTGGAAATGAGAGCCACTCTTCTCTTCACGAAGTCATATGAGTTTATCGTTATCTCAAAGACATTCAGTTAAACAATGAATAATATATATAAAGTTATCGATTGGTTTTGCAGTCGTTTAGTTGAAGAGTAGTAACACTGTATATAACTTATGAAATCGACATTTATTTTGTATAAATGATTTTACGATGCATTTCATTGATTTACTGTTAATATCAATACCGTATTTGGTGGCCTACGGGTGCACCACCACCGCCGAGGGGAGCACCTTGTTCAATTTAACACTTATCCATAACAACGATATTCACGCCCACTTCGCTCCGGTCAACGTCTGGAGCAGTCCTTGCGATGAGAAGTCGCTGCGAGAGGGCAAGTGTTTCGGTGGTGTGGCCAGGATTATGGCACAGGTATGTGCACATCACAGCACACACCCCTTACCCGACACTTTCTAAACAGTAATATCAATGTCTCTGTGGTTTTTAGGCCCAAAGTATACGCGAAAAACAGCCAAACAATACCCTATTCCTGAACGCCGGCGACAGCTTTCAGGGGACGGTCTGGTACTCGCTATACAAGTGGCGGATTGTCTCACATTTTACTAAATTATTGAAATACGATGTCATGACTGTCGGGAATCACGAGTTCGATGACGGGGTCGACGGTTACGCACCTTTTCTGGAGGCCACCCGACATACCATTCCCACCGTTTGCTGTAATATTGATGTGTCCGCAGAGCCCAAACTCGTCGGTAAGATCAAGAAGTCGATTGTCGTCGAAGTGGACGGCCGTAAGATTGGAATCGTTGGGTAATTACACAAAAAAAACACCAAATAGTGTAAATTTATTGATAGTTTACATTAATTATAACAGATATCTAACGCCTGAGACGACGTTTCTGTCAAACCCGGGAAATACTATTAAATTTATGGACGAAATCCAGTGCTTGCGAGAGGAGGTCCGCAAACTGAAGAGCGATGGCATCGATATAATCATCGGTTTGGGTCACTCCGGGTTCGTACGAGACGTGGAGATCGCCAAAAGTGTGCCCGAAATCGATGTGATAGTCGGCGGACACTCACACACTCTCCTATACGACGGCCCGAAGCCGT